TTTTTGAGATGGAGTTTTGCTGTTGTTGCCTGGGCTGGAGTTCAGAGATGGAATCTCGGCTCACTGCAACCTTCGCCTCCTGGGTTCAAACAGTTCTCCTGCCTCAGCCTCCTGAGTAGCTTAGATAACAGGCACCCACCACCATGCCTGGCTAAATTTTTGTATTTTTACTAGAGAAGAGGTTTCACCTTGTTGGTCAGGCTGGTCTTGAACTCCTGACCTCAGGTGATCCACCCATCTCAGGCTCCTAAAGTGTTGGGATTACAGGTGTGAGCCACGGCACCCAGCCTATTCATTTTTAAATAGATACATCTCTGATATATTTTCCAATTTTTGAGAACTAAATTTTAGTTATTAATTTAGCATAGTTACAATAGCTGAAATCTTACACTTCATGTCTCACAGCTTATTTTTCTTACACATACCTTTTTTATTTTTTAATTATTTATTTATTCATTTTGAGACAGTCTCACTCTGTTGCTCAGGCTGGAGTGCAGTAGTGCAAGCTCAGCTCACTGAAACCTCCACCTCTTGGGTTCAACAAATTCTCCTGCCTCAGCCTCCTGAGTAGCCGGGATTACAGGCTACCACACCCAGCTAAGTTTTGTTTGTTTGTTTGTTTGTTTGTTTTGAGACGGAGTCTCACTCTGTTTCCAGGCTGCAGTGCAGTGGCAGGATCTTGGCTCACTGCAACCTCTGCCTCCTGAGTAGCTGAGATTACGGGAACCTGCCAACACACCTGGCTAATTTTTATATTTTTAGTAGACATGAGGTTGTACCATGTTGGCCAGGCTGGTCTCAAACTTCTGACCTCAAGCAATCTGCCCACCTCGGCTTCCCAAAGTGCTGGGATTACAGGCATCAGCCACCATGCCCGGCTGCTAATTTTTGTATCTTTAGTAAAGAGGGGGCTTCGCCATGTTGGCCAGGCTGGTCTTGAACTCCTGACCTCAGATGATGTGCTTCCAGCCTCCCAAAGTGCTGGGATTATCGGCATGAGCCACTGTGCCTGTCCACATTTATTTTAAAACTGTACAGTTTCATTTTTCTTTTTTTAATGCAAAGTAATCTCTTCTCTACATCCACATTTGATATCTTACAACCCCTTTGTAAGAGAATTTCTTGTAAAGAGCATAAGACTTTATGAAGAAAATTGGGAAAATTGAGGTCACTATTAAACTAGAAAGAATACGTATTTTCCTTTACCATTTGTTCAAATAGGACAATACATCTGGCACATGTTATGTATCTAAAATTAGTACTTAATTCCCATTCACCGCTTCTTGCTTTGGGTGAACTTTCTAGAACTTCTCTTTTATGAAATTTCAGCAAGACACATAATTATTTTATAACACATGATATTTATGATGTATCTTTTTCCTGTTAGTTTTGGTTGCTACATTTCTTGTTTTATGACTTTAAGTAGTTTATGTCTACTGTCTACTCCCAAAATGATCCCAAGGGAACTGAGTAACTTGAGAGAAGTTAAATATAATTACATGTTTGAACTCCAGAGTTATACAGATCTGCTTCAGACCTAGCTCTCCCACAGATGTGACTTGGACAAGCAAGGTAACCTCTCTAAGTTAGGTTTCTTCATCCATAAATTGATAAGAATAATATGTACCTGCCTCACAGGATTGTTGAGAAAATTAAGTAAGGTACAATGTGTAAAATGAGTATCTCAGTGCTTGGCACATAATACATGTTAAGTAAGTATTAGCCAATGTTATTGTTGAGATGTTTGTTAAGACCATTTCACTACAAAGAACAGTGGTTCATCTGGATGATGGGAGTAGGGATATTGTGAGGGCATCTAGGGAAATGAGGACTTTAAGAACCTTCTGGCATATCAAGAAATGCTGTTGAGCTGGGCCTCTGGAAGTCGCTCAGGAACTAGAAGCATCCAGTGGAAGAGTCACCGATCTGAGTCATCTTCCTGCTGTCTTGGCAAGTTCAGGAATCCCATAAATGCAGTGATTCAGCATCCTTCCATCTGTACTGCTACCATCCCTATTTCTACTAATTTTTCAACTCTCCTATAAATACCTTTTGATTTTGGCTTACCTATGGCTTCTGCTTATTCATAACTGCTCATCCATCCTTTACAATAACTCAAAACTTCAACTTATTCACAATTTGTCAGTTCTACATGAAATTTCTAGCCAATAATGTCTGTTTGACTCAATAGTATCCTTACTGAAGCAGAGGTTCTATGCTAAATCTCCTTGTGGGCCATAAACCCATAGAAAAATCAATGACCTGGATCGTGAGCACATTCCTGATTCCAGTCAGCTGAGCTGGGAGAACTGGGGACTGAGAGGTTCTGGAAAGGGGTAGAGAATGTGGCATAGAACATGGCTACCTTAGTAGAAACTGCAGGCTCCACAGTTTCCCCCAGAAATGGGCTGTGTGGTGACTGGCTCGTCCGTAAACTACACTTTGGTAAATTACATCTCATCTATTCAACATAGCTGAGAAGAAATGTCTTGCTCCTCCTCCATTTATAGTTATGTTATTACTTTGGTTGGTTTTAAAGGGCAAGAATCTAACTTGAATTAACTTGGACAAAAAGAGGAATTTATTGGCTCACAAGATCCAGGAAAGGTTTAAAAAGTTGATGTCCAAGTCTAGTCTTCCCATATATCTTTGTTTCTTATTTTAAAATTAAACCCTATTTCCTTTTCTTCTGATCCCTATAAACTGTGACTCCAAGCTTGAATGATCGAATGCTATCTCAGTGGCCTGCTTCTGGCTTACATAACACTTGGCTCATATGTGTATGATTTGTTTTTAGCTCCTCCAGGTTTCCTTCAAAGTCCTTTTACTCCCTCACATTCTTCATGTTTTACTTTCTCTAATCTTGGGATACATGTTACTTGTCCTTCTTGCATAGCTTAGGTACCTCCCTAATGCTTCTCATTTCCGTTTAGTTTCATTTCATTGAGTTCCTTTTTCTCCTGCTTCTTCCTTGCCTCTTTCTCATTGAGCTCATGAACTTCTCTCCACTGTCTCAAGACAAAGGTGTCTCTGTTGGAGAAAGTAATCTTGATTTTCTTTCCTCATCAAAAGTTCATCTTAGTGATCCCTGGTCCACTATTTCTTATCCACTTATTGCTGTCTTCACTATTTCCTGAAATTCATCTTCTTGTTTGTATCCAATCTCTTCTATTGCTCCCTTTATCCCCTCTTTCTCTTATAGAATCAGTTAATTCCCTGTATTCAAAAGAGTAAATGTTACCAGATACTTCCTGTATTGCTTTGCTAGGGCTGCTATAACAGAGTACCAAGAGACTGGAGGGCTTAAAC